CAGTCTGTCTAACACATAGACCAGTGAACTGTCAGTCTGTCCAACATGTAGACCAGTTGACTGTCAGTCTGTCCAACACGTAGATCAGTGGACTGTCAGTCCGTCCAACATGTAGACCAGTGGACTGTCAGTCTGTCCAACACGAAGACCAGTAGAGTGTCAGACTGTCCAACATGTAGACCAGTGGACTGTCAGTCTGTCCAACATGTAGACCAGTTGACTGTCAGTCTGTCCAACACGTAGACCAGTGGACTGTCAGTCTGTCTAACACATAGACCAGTGAACTGTCAGTCTGTCCAACATATAGACCAGTGGACTGTCAGTCTGTCCAACATGGATCTGATGTTTGGCTCCATGATTTCAGTCTGATGTGTCATTCAGATATTTTTCTGTTCCAGCTGCTGGAGGACAACATGGTCACTTTTGTGAAGAACGAGCTGAAGAAGATCCAGAAGGTTCTGAGTCCAGATTACCCAGAATGCTTCGACAGTCAGAGGGAGGATGAGGAGGTGTTGGAGGGTGAAGATGAAGAGCAGAGGAGGAGCAGAGAGGCATTGATGAAGATCACAGTTTACTTCCTGAGGAGGATGAAGCAGGAGGAGCTGGCTGACCGTCTGCAGAGCAGTAAGAAGATTTCTATAAACATTTAACTTGATGGATAATTAAACCAAATTGTTAAAAAATCCGGATGTTAAACAAGAGCTACTGAAGTACTCATTGCCTAAAAGATTATATCTCAATAATAATAACCCTATTTCCTTATTCAAAGATTCCACAGCCCTTTGTCAACGTAACCTTAAAAGTTGTGTGAAGAAGAGGTTCCAGTGTGTGTTTGAGGGGATTGCTAAAGCAGGAAACCCAACCCTTCTGAATGAGATCTACACAGAGCTCTACATCACAGAGGGAGGGACTGGAGAGGTCAATGATGAACATGAGGTCAGACAGATTGAAACAGCATCCAGGAAACCACACACACCAGAAACAACCATCAGACAAGAAGACATCTTTAAACTCCCACCTGGAAGACATGAACCAGTCAGAACAGTGATGACAAAGGGAGTGGCTGGCATTGGGAAAACAGTCTTAACACAGAAGTTCACTCTGGACTGGGCTGAAGACAAAGCCAACCAGGACATCCACTTCATGTTTCCATTCACTTTCAGAGAGCTGAACGTGCTGAAAGAGAAGAAGTTCAGCTTGGTGGAACTTGTTCATCACTTCTTTACTGAAACCAAAGAAATGTGCAGCTTTGAAGACTTCCAGCTTGTGTTCATCTTTGATGGTCTGGATGAGTGTCGACTTCCTCTGGACTTCCGCAACAATCAGATCCTGACTGATGTTACAGAGTCCACCTCAGTGGATGTGCTGCTGACAAACCTCATCAGGGGGAAACTGCTTCCCTCTGCTCGCCTCTGGATAACCACACGACCTGCAGCAGCCAATCAGATCCCTGCTGAGTGTGTTGGCATGGTGACAGAGGTCAGAGGCTTCACTGACCCACAGAAGGAGGAGTACTTCAGGAAGAGGTTCAGAGATGAGGAGCAGGCCAGCAGCATCATCTCCCACATCAAGACATCACGAAGCCTCCACATCATGTGCCA